CCTTTGGTGTTTGGGTGGAATACTCGGTAGATATCTGTTAAGTCCATTTGATATATGGTTTTGTTTAATTCAGATGTCTCTCTGTTAAGTCTCTGGCCTGTTGACCTATCTAATGAATACGGTGGTTTATTGAAGTCACCTACTGTTAATGAGTTGGGGTTAATCTGGGTCTTAAAGTCCTGTAGTATTGTTTTTATGAAGTTGGGTGCACCAGCGTTTGGTGAATATATGTTCATGATTGTCATATCTTCTTGACTCATTGTTCCTTTGATCAAAATGAAGTGGCTCTCTTTGTCTCTTCTGATTGGTTTTAGTTCAAAGTCTATTTTGTCCGATATTAGGATTGCTACTCCTGCTTTTTTCTTAGTGCCATTTGCTTAGTATATTTTTTTCCATCCTTTCACTTTGAGATAGTGTCTGTCCTTGAAAGTGAGATGAGTTTCTGCTGGTCTTTTGGACATGAATTCCTTCAGCCTATTTATGTCATGGAAGATTTTTCTTTCCCCTTCGACTATAATAGACATTTTGGCTGGGTATAGTAATCTGGGTTGGCATCTGTGGTCATTTAACACTGGGAATACTTTGGTCCAGGTTCTTCTGGCTTTCATAGTTTACACTGAAAAGTCAGCTGTAATCCTAATGGGTTTTCCTTTATATGTGTCTTGTTTCTCTTTTGCAGCTTTCAGAATTGTCTCTTTGTTTTGTATGTGTAGTGTTTTTACTATGATGCTCCGTGGAGAGTTTCTTTTCTGGTCCTGTCTGTTTGGTGTTCTCTGTGCTTCTTGTATTTGTATGCGCATGTCTTTCTTTAATTTTGGGAAGTTTTCTTCCACGATTCTGTTGAAGATCTGGTCCATGCCATTACCTTGGGATTCTTGTCCTTCATTTATGCCTATGATTCATAAGTTTGGTCTTTTTATGATGTCCCACATTTCCTGCATATTCCATTCTTATGATTTCTTAAATTTTTCATAATCTTTGCTTGAGTGGTCTAGTTCATCCACTTTTTCTTCCAGTCTTGATACTCTGTTTTCCATTTCATTCATCCTATTGGTGAGGCTTTATCCTGTCGTTTCTAGTTGGCTTATGGAGTGTTTCACTTCGTTCTTATTTCAGACTGAGTATTCCTCAATATTTCTAGCTCTTTTCTGAATTCATTCAGAAGTTTATCCCTATCTTCCTTCAGCTCTATGGAGTTCTCACTGTACTCTTCTAGAGGACTATTGGTACTTGGTGGGGATATGTTATTTTGGATTTTCATGTTATTATTTTTTCTCTGTGATTTTGACATGTGAATTTTTTTGTAGTTTCTGATTATTGTGTGAGACTCAGTCCTTCAAGTTTAGGTCTGTTTCTTTTTGTGAACTTTATGTGTCTTTGTGGTTTACTTTTTGGGCATGAAAAGCTGGTTCGTCTAAGCTTCTGGTTCTCTCTTTTGAATTTATATTGGAGTGGCTGGATTGCTTTTGTCTTCAGGAGTTCCCACAGAGCCTCAAGTCAGATGAGGGTCAGATGTTTTCGGGCTTTCTCCTAAGGTCTGGATCCCTCCAGGAACGATTTTGGCCTCAGGAATTTGGGGGTTGGACTGGCCTGGGAGCCTGGCCCAGGAAAGATGCTGGTCTAGGGCAACTGGTGGCTGTGCCACCCAGAGATACAAAGGCAGATAGGTGGGAAGAGGCCCCAAGGATTCCTGGGGGCTGCACTGAGGAGCTGGGTTGTTCTGGATGCAAAGGATCAGAAGGATCAGGAAGTGGAAAGGTCAGCCCCTGCATCCCAGAAAGAGCTTAGATTTTTTTTGAGACAGGATCTCATCTGGCCCATGTTGCCCTTGAACTTGGTATGTGGATGAGGGTAGCTTCAAACTCCTTATCCTCCCTCTGCAACTTCCTTAATGTTAGGATTATTAACATATGTTACATGCCCATCAGAATTTTAGAATTATGAACAGTACAAAACCATTTTCCTTGATAAAGTTCCTAATAAGTACAGTCAATAGATTAATGCATCTTTCTACTCCAAGAGAAGCTTCTTGGAGCAGAAGGCAATTAACACAGAGACCCACTACTGGTCAACGTGCAGAGAATACAAGGCTGAGGAATGCTGATCCCTAAACCAGATACCTATATTACACCCTCTCCTCTCAAGGCTCATTAGAGAAGACTGGGTAGAAATATTCTAAGAGCCAGAGGTGGTGAATGAATACAAGGAAATCATGTTTTCCAGACACCGTAGGGCTGTTACACACAAGAACCCATTATGATTTGTGACAGCATGCACAAGACCAAGCCAGACAAAATCCCAGCATGGATGGTGGAAGTGGACAAGAAGCCACAGCCCTACATGGGGCCCATGGCAATTGGTGGCTGCTCGGAGAGGGAGACTCTGTTTTCTTTAAGGGTGTGATACCAGGTAGGTTGACCAGGCTCCAGGGGATGGACCCACACCCATGAGCATTTGGGAAACACAAATTAGACTTGATAGGTCTTAAAAATAATAGAGGAGATTAACTGAAAGGGTTGGGATGTGTGGTGGATCTGAGCAGAGGTCGGGGAGGGTGTCTGAATATGATCAAAATACATTGTGTGAAATGCTCAAATAATCAATAAAATATAATTAAAATATGAATGAGAATACATTCTGAGAAATACATTGACAGGCAATTCCACCGATCATATCAACATCATAGAATGTAGTAACACAAACAAGATGGTGAAGGCTAATCTCTTAATATGTTGTCTTGATGTCATCCACACCTGAGTAAACACAAGGTGTGTGCTGCTGCTGCCAGTTTACAGAGCATACCGTGATACATAAACTTTTAATTTTGCAAGTGGGATGAATAATGACAACGTGTGTAGTATAGTGTATGCATAAACAGTAGCCTAGTTTTTTTTTTGCCACCATCAGTTAAAAGGTTTTTTTTTTTAAATTAACAAAATAAGTGCATGAGTGTTTTGCTTAAATTTATGTGAGTGCACCATGTACATGCAATGTCCTTGGAGGCCAGAAGAGGATGCCAGATCATCTGGAACTTTTTTTGAGACAGCGTTTCACTGTGTTCCCCTGGCTAGTTTGGACCTCATATGTAGACCAGGTTGACTTCACACTCAAATAGATATTCCTGTCTCTGCCTCTGCCTCTGGAGAGTTGGGATTAAAGTCTGAGACACAGCTCCAGGTTCAGCATCAGCTTTTATGTACTGTGCAGAACTCTCTGTGCTGTACTTTCCCACATAGTCACTGCAGTGGGTTTTTTTTTTCCACACCAGTGTTACCACAAACAAATGAACAACATGTGTGTGATCAAAGTAAGACACAAGGTTATAAAATAATAGGAATTTTCATATCTGTAACAATCTTTCTGAAAATATTTTTTACAATGTATAACTCTAAAATATCTTTTAAAAAGTTGTAGGACAGATACATAGCACACAGTGCAGGCCTTGCCAGAACTTCTCTCCTGACCTAGGCAGGCCCCAAACTTACAATCATCTTGTCTTAACCCCCTGAGTACTGGTGCTACAGGAATGTACCACCAGGCCCAGCATTTAGATTTTTCAGATACAGAATCCAAAACTAAGAGGTTTTATAGAAAGTCAAAGAAAATATAAAGCTAAAGCAGAAAGTAGCACAGGAGAAGGAAAGTTTCCGTGTTCTAAGTTCAAAGTGCCCAAGATACTAGCCAGAGATACTACTCCTGAGTATCCAGAAGATAGAGTGTTAAAACACCTTGAGTCCTGGCCCAGGCGGTGATATCTCAAAGGGAAAAGCCTAGGAGACAGGCAACTATCTTTAAGCGACTTCCAAAGCTCTCCTGTGGCTCTAGCTCTGAGAAACTATGAAAACCAAGGTAAGGATCCAGGAAGGAGAGCAGTGATAAGGCACAGTGGGATCTAGACATGAAATGCTTGAGGTAGAATTTTCAGCAGAGAGGATTGAGAACACCTTCATTTTCCCTACAGAAGTCATTTGCCCCAGGAACAGATTTTACCCATAAGAATTCTGACCAGTGCCCCCTTCATGTCTTTGTTACGTAGGCTGTAAATGAAGGGGTTCAGCAGGGGAGTCACCACTGTGTACATGACAGCAGCTGCTGTGTTCTCTACCACTGAGTTGGAGGAAGAGGATGAGGGGCACAAGTAAGCCCTGATCACTGTCCCAAAGAACAGGACCACCACAGCAAGGTGAGACCCACAGGTGGAGAAGGTCTTGTACCTTCCCTGGGCAGAGGGGACTTTGAGGATAGCTGAAATGATGCGGATGTAAGAAACAAGGATGAGCACAAAGGGGAGTAAGATGACTGTTCCCCCCAAGTACAGAAGCACAAGCTCATTGATGTGCGTATCAGAACAAGATACCTTAATTACAGGTCCCAGGTCACAGAAGAAGTCGAGAATGACCTTCTTAGAGCAGAAGGAGAGCCGGAAAACCAGGAAGGTGTGTGTCATGGCAACAATATTTGTAAGGGTCCAACAGGCCAGCACCAAGAGCATGCAGTGCCGGAAACTCATGATCATTGTGTAGTGGAGAGGGTGGCAAATGGCCACATAGCGGTCATAGGCCATTGTGGCCAAGAGGAAGCTGTCCATGTCCCCGAAAGTCAAGAAGAAGTAGAGTTGAGCCATGCATCCTGCATAGGAGATGGTCCTGCTCTGGGTGTGGATGTTCACCAGGGCCTTGGGCACAGTGGTGGAGGTGAAAAGGATGTCAGTGCATGACAGGCTTGCAAGGAAGAAGTACATGGGGGTATGGAGTCGCACATCAGTACCGATGGCCAGGACAATGAGCAGGTTCCCAGCCACAGTGACCAGGTACATCCACAGGAACAGCAGAAAGAGGATGCTCTGCTGCTCTGACCGCTCTGAGAGTCCCCAGAGGAGGAACTCGAAGGTGCTGGTCTGATTCTGTCCTGCCATGAGCCCAGAAGTCAGAGAAGATCTCAAGTGAGCTCTATGAAACTTCTGTAATTATTTCACTCTAGATGACCACTGAGCTTGTCTGTGTCTGAACCCTAGAGAAGAGAGAATGGCAGTGTTCTCATACTGTCCATCTGCTGTGTGCATAGGAAGGGTAATACAGCCTGCCAAGATGCTATTCCAGAAGTTCTAGAAGATGCCATTCACGGGAATTGAAATAGATGTCCTGCACATCTCATCTGACCCAAATATCTTTACTTGTACTTTGGTTTTACTTGGCTATACGGTGAGGGGCCAAGAAGCTTTCATTCACCCACTTTAAGACATTCTATCCTCCAAACCTGCTCCAGTGCCAGGCAAATAACACAGTGATGATCCTACATGTTAGCCAATTTTCAGTCCCAAGGGGTAACTGCTTACACTGAACTCTCACAACTTTTTCAAGATAATCTAGGAATGTTTTAGTTTGTCTTTCATTTTTGAAGAATAACTTTCCTGGACTCAGAATTCTTAAGTCTTTTCGTTTCAGAAATGAAAATTTCATGGGTTCTTATATGAAATCTGTTATTACTCTTATTGAGAGGTTTCTATTTTTATTTTTTATTTTGGACACAGTGTTGGATGAGTATGGATGGGCAGTGGATTTGAGAGTTGAGGAAAAGTAAATATGATCAAAATAAAATGTATGAAATTCTCAATTAAAAAACTTAAAAGAAAAAAAGAGAATGCTTACAAAATTTTATCACCCAGTTCTCTTTGAAAACATTCTCAGATCCAGGCTGGATCTGTTTGGATCCATCTATGCCCTAAAGCGAGTTTTCTGAAGATAACTTCACACTACGCATTCCTCTAGAAGTCAGTGCTCAACAACCAGATGACTATTAAATAAAGATTCATTCTATATATACTAGGCTTCAAGGTGTCTATGGGAAAAACAAAAGCATAACCTCAACTTAACAGAATCTCAAAGTTGGCTGGAAAGACAGAGATAGAGATGAGAGATGAAAGATGAGAGAGAGAGAATATGAATTTATGGTACATGTGACAGAATGAGTTTGTGATACTAGTAACAAAGTGAGATTAAGGCTTCTGGCATACAAATGTGGATAAAAGTTTTACAAATATGTATGCTATTAAGAAATGACCCATTACATACAGATTATAGAAAATACCACAGATATTTCTCTTCAAGGTGTCAAATAAACACAAGGAAGAAATCATAACATCTAGTTTTCATAAGCTCAGAATGGGTTGGACACACATGCCATGTGTATGTGAAACACACACACACACACACACACACACACACACACACACACACACCAGAATCTGTGATACACAAATCAAGGTAGAATAAAGTTTCTGGTATGTGGCTGAGAGTTTACAGATGGGTGTAGACAGCATAGTGAAGACAATTCTGGACCAAAGACTGGAAAGGAGCAAAGTGGGAAAGGGAATAAGTTGATATCAACTATGGGAAAGTTTTGAATGGAAAGCAAAAATTTGGAACTTAAGAGCTTAAAGCTCAAGAACTTTTGTCACTCTAAGTCAGATCAAGTGATTAAAAACTAAGGAAAGAAAACACTAAAGAAAATAATAAATATGTATGTGAATTGTGCATATGATTGTATTTAAATAAAGGAAACAAGCACACCTTTAATTTATAGAAAACACTGTATATTAGGACACAAAGAAAATCACAAATAAATAAGTAAATAACAACACTAACAGAAATTCCACTTATCTCTTGCAAGGTGTAATAAAAGTTAATTGCAGAAATTGTAGATATTAACAATAAAATAAAATGGTGTTTCCACCTGGTATTCATGTTCCAATGCCTTCAGTAAATTACTCTGGGGTCCAGCGGAGGTACAGAAGTCTGAATTTCTGCCTGGTGTGCACAAAACACGAGAACTACCCCTTCCCTCAGCTATATTTAGTGTACTGTTATCTAACCTCCCTCCAGCCTTCCTGCTATCCTGTAATCTCTCTTCTACATGCATTGACCTGTCACAGGGTATTCCATAAATATGTATGTTTATGTGTCATTTACAAAGTAAAATAATTTCACATGTCTAATTGTTGAAGATTGAGAAAAAAAGATCATGCTATCTATGAAAATCTAAGGAATGTTATTAACACAGCAATCAAAGGACAATAAAGTGCTGAAATGCTTGTTTATAAAATAAAATCTATGCCCTAAAGATTTGATCTGAGCAGCATAACAAAATAAACAAAAAACAAGAAGAAAATATGTAAAGCCAAAATTCAAAACTGAGATTGAAAATTAGAAAAGTAATGAACAAAAGAGTTCTTTAATTTTTTTCGAGAAATAGTTTTGAGATTTCAGTTTGTCCATATGAAATAACTGAATTGGAACCTTTACCTCAGATCATATGCGAGATGGGCAAAACAAACTAAAAATGAACCAAAGACAAATATAAGAGTTAAAACTGTGAACACCTTATAAAAAATGAAGACATAAATATTTATGCTCTTGAATAAAGCAACAGTTTCTTAGATACAACACCAAAAGCAAAAGCTACAAAATTAAAAGTAAATAAACCAACAACATCAAATTAAAAATATTTGTGCTTCAAGGACTTTATTAAGAATATAAACTTGTGTAAGTTTTTTGACAATATCATGCATCTGATGAAGAATTTTTTATACCCCAAGCACATAGATAACAGTTATGAGTCAATAATAAAGAAATAATGAACAATGATATATTTTAGGATCTGGCCCGTATGTAAATTTATGCGAAGGGGTGCAGAAGACACCGTCCACTAACCGTGTAGTCTAAGAAATTTAAACTCTGTACTGTGTGATGATGGGTGCCATGGGCTAGCTACAGGATTGTCTTGATGCAAGTCAAGAGATTAATGGAACTTCTCCATTCACATCCAAACCGAATGTGTAGATTCCATCTCACAGGATGAAGCTTCTCAAAGTATAGATCCTTTGCTTTTTCCTGGAATGCTCACCTTTCTGAGCGTCCCAGCTGAGGTGAGAACATGGAACCCACAGCCACCCTGAAGATTTACCTGGGCTTTCTGTGCTAAGGGAAAGGCTTCTTTGTTCCGCCAGTCCTCCCACGCATGAGGATGGCTCTGAATCACTCCATGCTCCTGTTCGTGAAGGCTTCACTGCTCATACCAGCCTCCAGAGCTCCTCCTTCCCCAGCTCTCCCCATAGCCTGTTTTCTTCCTCACCAAAAAATTTAGTGACTCTATTTATTTCCTAGGGAATTCACCTTTTGTTTGGAAAGACTTTTAAAATGGCATTAACTTTCCTCTTAAGCACTGCATTTGCCATGATTTGGTTTGGTTGAGCTTTTATTGTCCTATGATCAGATCTGTTCTTTTTCACTAGACCTTTGGAAATGGAGATCAAATCTCATTTATATTTTCCTCCCAGGACCTGGCATCCTAGTTTTGTAGTGGTGAACAGGGATCCTCCGAGGATGGTGTCCCACCCTAGTTGTGAGCTCACCTTACTGTCTGTGTCTGTCCCAATCACCATCACAACAGACCTGGTACCTCTCCTTCAGTTGTCTACTTTGTTGCAATGTAACATGAGGCTCTAAATCTGTCTCTCCCTAGCAGTGTGTTATAAGCTCACCACCTGTTCCCTCCTCTGGTACCCAGGTTGTCCTATACACCCCTTATAGTAGGAATGCTGATGGGGCTCTATTCCTCAACATCAGAAGCTCCCTAACATACTAGTGTCCAAGACCTGGGCTATCAGAGGTCCTGTGAGAGGCTGGAACCTAGTCATTTCCCTAAGCTCCACACATTCCCCCAGGAGCAATTTCTTGGAAGGGAGAAAGATGTAGTTCAGCATTATTGGACTTCCTCCAAGAAAAATGGTTAATTATCTGTTCCTTGGACTGAAGCAGAGAGGAAGATTCCATCCCACCTGTGCATATAAAATCTCTTTTGGTTCATGACATTTTGAAAAGATATTCTTCAAATTAAATCACAACAAAACTCTACCAAAATTAATTCTCTGTGTAATTACTTGGGAAAAGGAAATAACTAAGTCACAGCGACTCTCCTTTCAGGATGGATATTTTTCCTCAGTCTTTATGAAAAGGTCACTTTGATTATGGATCAATGCTATGGACAGGAACAACAGAGAAACCCAAAGATCAATGGAGACATACCAATGACACGGATGCAAATGTGAAAGGCCAAGTATGGGGCAGTAGAGCAACAAAATAGTGAAGCAATGGGTTATAAACAGACAACTACAGTGGAGAGAATGAAACGAAGAGGACAGGACTACACCGATAAAACGATGTGTGACTAGACGAGTAAAGAAGCAAGCAACTAAGAAAGAACTACTGCGTTGGGGTAAAATTTCAACCAATAAGTTTTAGGGGCAAGATAGAATTCCATAAAAACAATATTTGGGAAATATCATGTTAATTATTTCTACTGGCTATTTATTCATGACAAGGACAAAATAATAGTTCTTCAGTTTACACTCCCGTATACTGTACCCTTTTCAGGTAGCCTGTTTTGTGCTCATATTTACCAGAACAAAAGGGAAAAAAGAAAAACATAATTTATGCCCAGCTTAGGAGAATGTCATATACTTTCCATAAAGTACATACCTGGACTGACATCAGCAGATGGCTATCTAGGAGGTCCCCACACTTGCTTCCCAACAGAAACAATGATTTAACAGCAACTCAGTGACGAAAGTCACGGATTCATGTCCCTGCTGATGTGCAGTGACAGCACCCCATGGCTCTTTTGGTGCATCCTGAGTAGGGACTCTCCTCTAGAAGCAGGCCTTGTGTCTCCCATCTGAGTTCTTGAGATTTAACTCAATGAACCAGAAACAGAGAAGGGTGGTGGAGGTGGGTGGTGAGGACAATCACTGTTGGCTTGACAGCACTTGACTGGAAGACTGATTGTCTACAGCAGTGAGCACGAATCTTCCTAAGACAGAAAAGAAGTTTCAGAGAAAATGGGGCAACTCAAGAACTA